GCTATTTTTTGGTTGCAGCTGCCATTGTTGTTTGGCGGGCCGGGCTGGATTCGAACCTGCCACCTTAGGTGTATGTGGCTGGCGCCTTAGCCACTTGAGCCACAGGTGTTGAGCCATGTTTGTTACTTTCTGTTCACTGCACAATAAGCAATTGTGCACTTTTAGGGGCATTAATCTCTTCTGAAAATATGGTAGTTTCCACTCTAAGAAGTTTTATGGTGGCTGAAAAAGTCAAATGTAGTATGTCATGAAAACGGAATAGAAAGGGAACAGGAATGAGAGAGAGGTGTCCTTGTTTCAGATCCTGTTAGTGTTGTGCTTCCATTTAGTTGTGTTTTAAATCATGGTCAAGTAGACACCGTTTATTACATGATACGGATTTAAGACCAAATAGAGATCAGTTGAAAATGGTGTAGAAAAGTTGGCCGAGAATAGAGTTAGAAGGTTTTTTGGAGTGTATTTTTAGTTCTAATCTTGATATATATCTGTGTGTGTGTCTGTGTGTGATATACACACACAGACACACATATATACATATATATTTTTTCTTTCTTTTTTTAGATGAAAGAAAACTGATCTACAAGTATAAAATTACAGAGATTGGGTTCCTTAGATTTACCTTTAAGAATGATAAAGATGGCTCAGCACCCGTAGCACAGTGGTTATGGCACCAGTCACATACACCGGAGGTGGCAGGTTCAAACCCGGCCTAACTAAACAACTGCAACAAAAAAATAGCTGAGCTCTGTGGCAGGTGCCTGTAGTCCCAGCTACTTGCGAGGCTGAGGCAAGAGAATTGCTTAAGCCCAAGAGTTTGAGGCTGCTGTGAGCTGTGATACCACAGCACTCTACACAGGATGACATAGTGAGACTCTGTCTCAAAAAAAAAAAGGTAAAGATTCTAGGACCTTACCAAAAAAAAAAAAAAAAAAGAATTTGACTTATGCATAGCTTCATACCTAGAATAAAGTTATGAAATGTTAAATTGTATGTATTCAATATTTTGCTATTTTATATGGGCATAATAGAGGTTTAAATTATTCACCAGCATTCAATGGTTTTCTTGGAGAGTAGCAGCTATTTGTTATTAAATAACAAATTTAAGGGCTATTGTTAATTGGCCCTTATTTATACTGGCTTAAGATAGATCTGTGTTTTATTATGTATTTCCTTAATGTGGAGAGTAAAACTGTGGTTAAAACGAGACCTGAGTGTTGGGGTAAAGCACTGCTTTGCTTCTTACAACACATTTCCCTCCCTTATGCCCCTTTGCTCTATCCCCTGCTGGAATAATAACGACATGATGGGATGTGAACTGAATTTCAGTGTTATATTGTGAAGGAGAGGTTCTTAATCATTTCTTTCATTCTGTACATAGCTTCTTTTTAGAATAAAAATTGAGGTTAAAGCCTGAGTTTCATATAGAATTTGTCAAACTTCATATAAATAAAATTGCCTTAGTTCCTGTGAGGTGTGTTTGAGGCATGAGAAAATACTTCAAACATTTTTTCAAAATATTTCGGAAACATTTTAGTTAAAAGCATACTATTCAATGAAAACATTGAATGTTCAGAATGGTTAAAAAAGAATGCTATTTAAAATATAAGCTACATCAACAGGAATTTTAACTTCTGACTTCGTAACAAAGAGAAACTTGAGGTCACATCACTTTTTCTTATTTTTAATATTAAGACTTCTGATTCTAAGATGATCATAAAAATTCCTCTGTTTGTAAGTAACTTAACTTGATGGATGATAATATGGCAGGTTCCATATTCTGTGTGATAACATTGGGAACCTGTTCTTTGTGTTTTTGTCCACGTAACTTGAAATGGTGGGTATTTCATCTTTGCCTGCACTCATGGGGCTTCCTCCAGGGGCCACAGAAGAAGCAGCACAGCCTGTGCTCTGAGGCCCCCCTGAGGCCTCCTGCTCACTCCCCCCATCTGTGGTGCTTAAGAAGTCTTTCAGAACTTGCTTGAAGATGTAGACTATCTCCCATGGCAGTACATCATTTTCTGCCAAAACTTCTCGAAATCTAGAGGGAATGTAGTAATATTTCAGAAAATTTCTCTTGTATCCCTTTATCTCTAAAATACAACTTAAATAAAGTACTTGTATATTAGTCAACCATCTTTTGAGTACTCTGCATATTGCTATGAAATTATGCTTTGAGTAAAGAAATTTTGAATATAATTAAAAAACAAGTCCTGCCAGTAAGATACCAATAGACAGTTTTATTCATTCTATCCCTCAGGATTTTGGTAGTTGGGTATTTGATATACATGGCTAAAGAATTTACATGATGGGAAATAATTTCCAATCTAAATATATGGGGACTTTAGACTTAGCATGAATAGATAACATAAGAAGAGAACATAGCATTTTTACCTGCTGAGAATCATTCCAGTTTGGCAAAGTTGAACTTGTGAGCAAAGAGCTTCCAGTTGTCTTTGTTCAGTTGCTGGGATAGTCATGTGGGGGTTCTGGCAGTTTCTGAGCCAGTTGTAATCCACACCTGTTCTTTTCACTTTCTGTTCGTTTTCAATCTCTTGTATTAATCTCTCCCGCTCCTTTAGGTGCCATTTTAATTCCCGAAGCAGAGTCTTTGTCACTATGTCTGAGCCAGGGTAGCCTGTGGGTTTGTAGGAGTCGTTCTTTGGCCATTTCATCCAGCCAAAAAGTGGCATTTTTAACCTATGGAAATATTCTCACTTGTTTATTTGCATACACTATTACAGTTCTGATGAGAAAATATTTGTTTCTTTACGATAAATTTATCATGAATTTTTCACTGGTTATCTCAAAATAAGATTAGAATGTGCATTAAAGGCTTTTAATTTCTAACTAGGTCAGTGGCAAAAATCAAGCTTGGAAAATACTTTTACATACCTAAGTAGAAATTAAATATTCAAAGTCAGAGATAATCTACAGACCAAACAATTTTCGAAAACATGAATGTTTGCTATTAAAAGTTCTTTGGAGGCTTTAAATATTAATGTATGGGAGAGTGCTATTTACAGACACACTTGTGATTTATGTTTTGTACAGAAAAGACTTAAAACTTACCTGTTAAATTGATGAATGTGATGTGATGTTGCCAAAGAGTTTGCTTGAACTAGTGAAGAAGCTGTGTTTCACTTGGGGGTGTCTTGTTCTCCTGGCTGCGTCCTCTGTTGAAGGAATAAGTCTTCTTATTTACCCACCGAAACTGTATTTGAAATAACTTTCTATGTTAGGAATGAGGTTGTGATGTCTTCTTTTGGAGTGAATGCTCATTAACTCACCTTGTAAGCAAGCTAGAAGAAATGACAAAAATAACTTACTGTTTAATCTTTGCAAATTATACAGTGCTCTACCTTTTGAATGTAGCTTAGTCTACTTGAAAAACATGCGGGCAGCTATGGATGCTAGTCCTAATGGATTCTGACTCGTCTTTGGTAATGAAATGGGAACAGCTGTCTGGAGCACCACAGACGCTCCGGGCTAATTTGAAGACGTTGCATGTGTGATGCTTCACTGTGCATAGCTGCAGGTCACAGTTTAGTGCTGTATTTTTATGCCTGTAAAGCTCTAAAAATAACCATGTTGCTTTTATTTTTTCAGCTTAACTTTCAGGCCATTTAGAAGCCAGGTCACTGTCCCCTGTAATGAAAGCAGGAAAATAGATCAGACTTAACTATTTGGAAAACTGTGGCTTCTGAGAGAGCTCATTGTAATTGAGCAAAATAGGCAAAGAAGGCTGATATCATCATGTGTGAAATATTTAGTAATTTTTATTCTTATTGCCAAATAGTTAAATTTGTACATTTAAAGTGAAATACTAGATTACATTAATTACTATATAAACAAGTAGGATTTTAAAACATACTTTATAATCTCTTTGAAAGTGGTGATAAAGCAGTAATAGGTTGTCAGGAAAAAATGGAGACATCAGAACATACAAAATTCCAAACTGAATCTTATAATTAATCATAGAAAATGAATTAGTGTTTTCTTTTAGAGCTGAAGATGAAACACTTACTATTTAGTTGAGGTCTGGTGTGTAATGATCTTCCTCCTGCTGATTTTCTGTTGAGGTGTTTGTCTTTTGCTGAAGAGTAGAGAGAGTCTCTACCTGTCTGGCTCTGTTTAGAGGACTGCCTAGTGGCTTTTCCTTTTGTAACATTTGTATCTTGTGTCTTGCCTTGCTCTTCCCTTCAAATGAGCCATGAAGCATAGATGTTGGAAGTCGGCCCTGTGCATCCTGCCTGATCCTGAGTGATGTATGTGGTCAGCTTGCAGCTCCAGTCACCTACGTGTTAGAGCCACACGTCAGGGTTGGTTATCTTCAGCTAGAGGTTTTCACATTGCATTGCATGTGGTGCTAGGAGAAGGCCAGGAGCCAAGTTCATGGTGACAGCAAGGGCTTACCAAATTTTATACTGAATTACAATGAATCTTGCTACTTCTTCCTTCCAATCACTTTCTTGTTACTGCTTAATCCCCCCCCCCCACCCCCCCGGCCCGAAATGGTAACAAAAAATATCAGAATTTGCAGGCTGTGGAGCATAAGTCAAATTTCTCTTCAAGGCCTTCCTTGGTGGCCTCACATGAGCCCCCCTTACCAGCTTGCTGTCTGTTTCAGCTGGCCTATCGTGACACGTGCCATGCTTGTGTCTGACCTCCTGGTTCTGGTTAAACTGACTTTTCTGAAATGCTTAAGCTTTCTCTTTTCTTTTCTTTTCTTTTTTCTTTTTTGAGACGGAGCCTCAAGCTATCCCCCTGGGTAGAGTGCTGTGGCATCACGCTTACAGCAACCTCCAACTCCTGGGCTCAGGCGAGTCTCCTGCCGGCTTCCCCCACTCCGCGGATTTAATACCAGC